CTGGCCGGCTCCGTTCAGCCCCGGTGCCCGTTCGGGGCTGGCCGGCTCCGTTCAGCCGCGGGGCCCGTTCGGGACTGGCCGGCTCCGTTCAGCCGGCAGTGCCCGTTCGGGGCTGGCCTCGGTGTGCCCTCGGCTGAGCGGGGCGGTCACGGCCCCGAGGGGCTGCGGGAGCCGCGGGGTCCTGCGGGACACCCTGGCCGAGTGCGGGGGACGCGCACAGGGTGGCCCTGGACACCGCGGACACAGGGCCACTGCCCCAGGGGTCAGGAGAGCCCCGAGCGCTTTGGGCTCCGCTTGTCGCCCCTGCCCTGGCYGGGAAGGGCCCTGCGAGGGGGTCAGCGGGTTCTGCCGTTCGGCCGTGCCGCGTTCTGTAAAGACAGTTGTTACCGACGGACGTCGCGTTCCCAAACCCGGAGCAGCTCTGGCCATCGGCTCTGTGGCGCAAAGAGACAGTCCTGCGTGTCCAGGCGGCAGAGCACCCCCGTGGAAGTGCCCCCCTCTCCTCAGTTCTCTGCAGCAAACCTGTTTACATTGTAGCCTGACTTTTTTCTTTTTATATTTTTACTTCTGCATGTCCTTTGCATTTCAGATACTGTAGATTGGATGCATGGTGAAGCTGTGACTGAGAAGATAATACAACAATTGACAGYGTATTATTTCATTTAACTTTTAGCAATAAAGTAACTAAACCCTCTATTCCTCACCCATGATGGGGTCAGATAGAAAACTCTGCTAATTTGTCATAAGATGATTGTCAAAGTTTGCTCTGGATTGTCTGAATGTCAGAACTCTTGACTGTTTAACACTTGAACATTTTTTATATTATAAATAAAATAAGAAATAACAAGCTGTGGGCTGCATTAATCTCAGGCCCTTTGGGGGGCAAATGGGGAGCTGTGACAGCCACCATATAGAATCACAGACTGGTTGAGGCTGGACGAGATTTATTCCACATTTCCTGCTCCACCAGCTCACCCAGAGTCAGTGCCAGGCTGTGCCCAGTCAGGGTTTCAATATCTCCAGGGATGGCAACACCACAACTTGTTTGGGTAACCTCTGCCAGTGTTTGGTCCCTCTCAAAGCAAAAAGGTGTCTTCTTGTAGTCAGACTGAATTTACTGTTTTTCAATTTGTGCCCGTTGCCTGGAGTCCTGGACACTGCTGAGAAGAGTTCAGCTSCCTCTTCTCCACTGCCATCCACTGGGTATTTATACACACGGAAAAGGCACCCCTGAGCCTTCTCCTCTCCAGGCTGGACAGACCCAGCTSCCTCATCCTTTCCTCGTATGAGAGGTGCTGTGGTTCAGTAAAGATCCTTATGCCCATAGAGATCCATAGGTGGGTGTTTTTCCACCTGGTGTGGATGTTTGACCTTCAGTGCAGGGCTCAGGAGTGGAGGMTCACTGAGGTGAGTGAATGCTGCCCACACATCTCCCAGGGGGCTGCCATTCCTCCTCCCACTGCAGACCACAAAATCYCTTCACTTGAACCATGGAAGTTTTTAGCTGTGCCAAGAGAGGTCAGGATGCCTGGCATCTGCTGAGTCCTGGCATCTATTTCAGTGACTCTTCAATGGAAATGAGATTTGTAGGGTCTAACCTTGCCAGCCCTGTGCCATGCCACACTGACCCAGAAAACAGRGCCCTTGTCCAGCTCTTCCATGGGAAATCTGCATCTCTGGCAAGTCCCCATGTAGGGGTCTCACTGGCAATGTGGGGTGGTCACAGGGGCACATACAGGGTGTGACACCCAGGTTTCAGTCCAGCTCCGACCTCCCTCCCTGTTCCTGCTCAGTGACATCAACAGGTACCCAGGAGTCCCATCTGAACTCWGCAGGAGAGGGATCTGCTACACTGAATCGACCCTGTTGGAATGGTTAGGTTGGAAATAGATTATCTGGCTGGAACAGATGATTTTTAATGTCCCTTCCAACCCAAACCATTCTACAATTCCATGAATGCCCAGAAACACGAGAGAAGTCCCCAGCCCGGACAGTGCTGCCCATGCTGGAGGCCAGGCCAAGCACACCCACAGCCTGAGCTGCTTTTGCTCCAAGCCCCCACAGGATGCCCATTGCCCTGGAGCTGACCTGGCTGGGTCACACGCCTCCCCAAACATTCATTGTGTGTCCTGCAGAGCCTCCAGACAGACCAGGGGCTCAGCACTGCACCCTCAAGGCATCTCAACACTCATTTCCCAGAAGGTTCAAGGCTGAAGGATCCTGCCCTCCTGCCATGGGGTCCCTGTCACCCAAGAGCAATGTGCAAAGGAGGTGTTTGGTGACCAGAACTGGGGATAAAGGTGGTAGAGCCAAGTCCCAATTTGGGTGAATTTGCCTTTGGACACATCATGTCCCACTTTGGTGCAGTCCCAAAGCTCACTRATGAAGGCAGCAGTGCAGCTCTCCACTCTCCTGCTGCTCTTGGGACRTGCTCCAGGTCCCTGCTGCCTTTGATCCCGCATCTCAGCTCCTCCAGCGGCTCCTGGAGCATGTGAGGGGCACAGGAATGGGCAGAGAACACCTGACCCCTTGGGAGGGACACGTGTGGAAGATCACCAAGGCTGATCCCTGGGGAAACCAGGCACAGAAAAGAGAGAGAGACCGGGTGCCTTTGGGTTTCCAAAGCAGCCCCATCTCCCTGCCTGGCTCTCCTCAGGATCTGTGAGCTGGTGAGCCCCATGCATGGAGAAGTGCCCCCAAGGCTGGCACAGGAGCATCTACATTATGAGAGGGTGCAGCCCTTGGGTCTCCCTGGCATGCAGAACACCCACGTAGCCCAGTCTCAGGATGTGCTCAATGCAGCTGATCCCCACCAGGAATCTCTGTGGGTCCCTTGGAGAGGAGCTGTGGGTTTGCCCTGCACAGGGGGATATTCCCCTGCTCCATGGTTTGCAGAGATCTGTGCTGTTCTGCATCTGCTGAGACACCACCAGCTCTGAGCCATGGCAGCCTCGGGATTCTTTGCAGTGATTTTTCTGTTAAACGTGCCCCTTGATTCCCATAATTGTGTTCTATATTTAGAGGCAGTTACGCTACTTCAATTTTCTCTCCAATTGCCTCTGAAGGAAGCCTGTATCTCTCTCTCTTTTCTCCCTGGCTGGTTTATTTTTAGACTCCTCGTTTCCAGCCATGTGTATTCCTAGGGCTTTACCGTAAATATTTTACAGCAATTTTCACAGGTGGGGGAGCCACCAAAGCCTCCTGACAGCTCTACTCCACACGTGTGATGCCTTTAATGCCCTTCCCAGAGGGGAGGGARTTGCTCTGCTGACACAGATCGGTGACACAAGCAGGGAGGAGTGTTGCATCCTGGCTTTGGGGTCACAAAGCCCCCCCCTCAACGTCCCTCTAAAATAAATCTGGTGTTTGATTGTGACCAGGACAAGTGGCCTRGCAGGGAGCTCAGGCTGAATCACTGCTGCCCGCTGAGGTTGTGTGGGACCCAAAGCAGTCGTGGTGCCTGCTGGAGGGGCTGGGGATGTGCCAGAAGGTGCATCTGAGTAACTCCAGGAAGAGAAAAGGATGTGGCTGCTSAATTCCTCTGAGATGCTGCTCTTCTTTTGTAGTGGTGGTGGCTGAGTTCTTGATCCTCAGGCAAGGAAAAAGGGAGAAAAAAAGGTCACAAACTGAGGCTGTGGATTGGTCAAATGAGGCATTTTTGGCTGTGGTCAGAGCCCTCATGTAAGCAAGGTGCTCTGGACACATTTTCAGGTGTGTGTGCACCCAGATCAGGATTTGTGCACCAGGCAAACTGCTGGGACTCATGGTGCATGGGTCATGYTCTGAACTCCTGCCAAGTGCAGTCTGACATCAGCTGCCACCCCTTCCCACATCCATTGGGTGGTGAATCTCGTGGCTCTGAGTCTTCTTCCTGCTTCCCAGAGGAGACTTTGCAAGATCTTGCTTTTCTCTGCAAGTTACTCCCAGCTGAGGGTGGCAGACTGGCACCTTCAACCAGGGGGCTGAGCTGCTCTAGGT